CAGACAGACCACATTAGCCAGACAGTATTTGTCTAACAGTGGCCGGGTAAAGGCTTTGGATAGTCATTTACATGTTTTTTCACGCACTGGCCACAGCATATTTTACTAGTTGTTTGTTTGGTCATATCATTCAGATATCAAAATAGAGTCTCAATATACTTCATCATATACTTCTCTGTTATTGTTCATGGTCTCCTCAAAAAGCAGTTAATGTTCAAACTGGCTGGCAATTCTCAGTCTGAGGTTGAGAATTAGAACTTTTAATTGCCAATTAGCAGTCTAATTATGAAGATAAGCACCTGGTGCTTGATTTCATTGATCTCAAAGTGAGTGAGGCACCTAAGGCCTTGGCTACACTCAGGACTTCCCAGTGCTGCCTCTCTTGCAGTGCTGCAAGTACTCCACCTCTCCGAGGGGAATAGCTTGCAGCGCTGCGAGCGAGCGTGCAGCGCTGCAGGCTCTGATTACACTGGCGCTTTACAGCGCTGTACTCGCTGCGCTCAGGGGGGGGGCGTTTTCACACCCCTGAGCGCAGCAAGTTGCAGCGATGTACAGCACCAGTGTAGCCAAGGCCTAAGTAACTTTGTGAATCCCGTCCTTCATGAATAAATGGAAAACCCAGCATGATCTAAACAATTTGTTTTCTAAAAGGGAGCACTTCATGTCAGGAATTCATAATAGCAACATGGGCATTAATGTACCTTCATTTTAATTATGTTGCTGCATTTGAACGTATCTGTAATGCATTTTACTCTGGAAGTGGAATGTTTTCAAGTTCAAGATTTTAAATGATTTCTGAATAGATTATTATTAGAATTAACATTTTCAGCGTTGTGCTATATGTCTTGTTAAAGGAAATATAGCTGTAAACCATTAAAGGAAATTTCAGAATCCCACATCACAAATTTGTATTGTATTTGAGGTTTTGCTCACTGAAATCCTCACACATTTCATTTGCACCTATATTTTCTTTGCACACACTAGATTGCCACACTCACGGACCCTTCCAGAAAAATCACCAACTTATATAGAGCCTGAGATAAGGAGCTGTCTTTTTCCTTACAGATCCACAGAAAGGACAAGACTAATTCACTCGCACGGGTGTTTCTGTGGGAACTTTGAGGACTTTATAAACTGCAAGATTGTAGTGCCGGAACTGGTGTACGTGTGAAGTGTTTCCTCTTTTGCATTTCTCAGCTTCAAAGAAACCTCAGGCTAAGCAGTATAGGGTGTTGTCTCTCTGTTACAGTAACAGTTAACTTGCTCTTCAACACAAAGAAGTGGGGTTCTAACCTGTACTGTATTTTAGCTTTCACTGCTGTCATGAAATGTTAAACCTAGGGCACTTTCATTCCAAGTTAAAACTTTGTGTAAACATACAGCAGAAAGAGGAAGAGAGAGAATATAAGGGTAAATAAACCGCAAACAAACTGCCTTTTCCTCTCATCCAATGTCTATTTACTGTATACACGAGAAATTCCACAGGCTCAATCTCCTCTGAGGTGCCTATGATCCCTCTTGCCAGTAATGCCCAAGCAAGAAGCCTGAAGTGAAGATGAACATTGATCAGCACTAGTGCCTGACATACATTGAGCAATACTGCTAGCAACCATTCCTCTTCAAAGTGATTGTGCAGTGTCACTGGCCACAAGTACTACACAGCCGGTGTTTACCTGTTTTTCAGAGAACAGCAGCCATGAAAAGATGAATCCCTCTATACTTAACGTTTGAACACCAGTTGCAATGCAATATTGATTGAACCCTCTTTGCTCTGTACCTTCTGCCCTTGTGTGTCTGTGTTAGCAATTCTTGCTGTTTTTGGTGGAAGCCTGGTATTTGCTATAATAACCAGTGTGGATAATGTAGCAAAGTGCCTTCCTTGTCCTACTCCAAGCCAGGTCCTTGAGAAGGTCTGAAATCAGTATAAATGAAATCTACACACCTCTGTGCATATGTAGAGAGGAAAATAATTAGTTATCGCTAAGGAGTCAGCTGCTGTACTGTGCAACAACTTCCAAATCTCCAGAGACCAGTCTGGTTTTCTGTATAAATAATGTCTCAATACGATGAAATGAATCCTTTTCAGTAGACATCAATCTTAACACAGTTCTTTAGTTACCACCTCTATCCTGTTTACCTTTCCCCCTCCCTCTTTAATCCTCCTGCAAAGCTTGTTATTATTTCCCTCCTCCCCAGCCCCTGTAAAACCCCATCTCTTGGAGTCATCTGATTTAAGTGAAAATTTCAGGTTTTATTTACTTAAAAATAAATGTCTGGCCTTCATGGTTGTAGAGAACAGCTTGAAAAGGTGTCCCCTAAAGGCTGTGTATGAAGGGCTGTGTTTGGACCTGGCTCCAGGTATAAACAGGGTCTTGTGCAGTTTTGGGGAGGGGCAGCTTCTTGATGCCTAAAGGTCACCAAAACTGCTGAATCAGCTCCCCAGGGCTGTCAGCCAAACTACAGTTCCCAGCATGCCTTGCTTTGGGCTCACAGGAAGCCATGGCACTTCCTGTTGCCGGAGGCAGCAGGTTTATCTCGCTTTGTGAGGGAGGAGGGGAGGCTCAGGCCTGCTGGGGAGTTATAGGGCTCTAGCAGGGTGGACAAAGGAGTGCAAGTTCCGTGGTGGAGTGCTGAGGGGTCCAGCACTGCCACTCCTGGCATTTACTTGGTCTGAACTGGGCTCTCCTCAGGGGTAGGGTTACCATAACTAATAAATAAAAAAAGAGGACCCTCCACGGGCCCTGGCCCCACCCATTTCCCCACCCCCTAGCCCCGCCCCAACCCCGCCCTAACCCCGCCCCCTCCTCCCTCCCACTCCCAGCCAGGGGGAAAGGGCTGCCCCAGGGCTACCGGCTTCA